CGGAAGGATGGAAGGCTGAGTCAACCTTGAGCCGGTGAGATTTGAACCGCTGTACTGCAGATAGCAGTCAGCTGAAGTAGCCCGCAGTGCTGCACCCTAACCACTGCGCCACCTCGGCTCTTTAAAACAGCAAAGCATGGTCAAAACATCCCAACAGAAGAGTCATCTTGGGAGGTGCTTCCATCAGGTTTCTCCTAACCAAGAGCTCTCTAGGAAGGTGAAAGGAAGGTATAGACCAGTGTTTCCCAACCTTGGCAACTTGAAGATGTCTGGACTTCAAGTTGCCAAGTTTGGGAGTTGAAGTCCAGACATCTTCAAGTTGCCAAGGTTGAGAAACACTGGTATAGACATAACCGGCTCCCTCCAAATCAGCTGGGCCAGCGGGCAGGCTGGGCTGGCGTCCAGCAGCAATTCTAGCCCCTCTGAAGGGCCAGTAGTGCAGAATAAAGTGCCGGCAAGGAGGAGATGCTCTGGGTGAGCAGTTCCCCAAACTGGAAGCAAGTGGTGCAGCCGAGTGTCCTTTCTGATGCACCTTTCAAGGGGTGTCAGGTATTTAGATTTCCTAGTTTTCTTAAACTGGGATAGTTTGGCGATTCTCGCAGAGGACTTCTTCATCTTGGACGTTGCCTCAATCCTTTGCTTCTTCCCAGACTGTCTTTTTAGTTTGGTTCATTAAATTCAGTCGAGAACCCCCTTTCGTCATCCACACACCCACGTTTGAGCCCCTTAAAAACCAACCGTTTTTTTTTAAGAAAAGCAGCTTAGCCAGAAAGTCTGGAGCAGAAGCGCCAAACAGGAAAGACTTCCTGGCTCCCAGGAAGATGGTGGCTGACTTTCAATCGTTCGCAATGAGTCACTCCCCCCCTTTCCCTCCCCAGTGTGGACTTTGCAAGGGAGTGGAAGCAGACTTTGTGTACCTGCAATAGCCGCTCCCCCCCCCTCCCACACGCCCGTACAGTTTCACAGGTGGGTGGCAGCATCTCTCTCTCCACAGAGGCTGCCCAGGAAGACCAGGTGGAAGCTTTCGCTTCTTAGACACGTCCTTGCTCGCTGCGGCCTTGTTTCACCAGTCTTGGGGGCAGCTGGTCAGCCATGCTTTCAATGTTGTTTTTTGGTTTGGGTCTCTGCTAGACACTGCAGACAGAATCTGTCCTTCCATTCCATTCTCATGGGGAATCCCACCTCCCATGAGGTAGAAATGCATGGGGCAGCCCTTGAAGAGGGTTCCACCACAAATGCGCACACAACAAAAGCGCACCTGACTAAACTGCGGTGTCTAAAGCGCGGTGACAAAACCAAAAAACAACA